GCTCGATTACCGTTTAGGAGTTATGGACAATAAAACTTCGACTTCTTTAGCGTCGCGTCGACGGAACAGCCGCAATTAATGGCTGTGTTTATATTCGTTTACCTCGAGTAGTGATGCGGCGCGGAAGCTACACTTGTCTTGATTACTGCGCGATGCGCGAAGTTTAAAATGAAGGCGCGATTCCAAATATAGCAGTAAAAAGGAAAAAAAATTACGTGCATGAATGGATAAAAATTTGAAGATTAGAAAGATCTTCAATTGTTTCTATAACACATTTAAAGCAATTTAATAAAAAAAAATCATTATTTAATTGTTATGATGTTGATTTGGGGTTAGTAGAGACAAACGCCAAATAACACGTAACAATAAAAAGGGTTTTAATAGGTTGGTAAAAAGGTACAGAAATCGCCTGAGTAGTCAATAACTAGCTCAGCTAAGAACTTCTCTGTCTATCTGTCTTAGTATTTATCGATCCACCTACGAGGATTAAATATGGCACAAGGCCGGTTTAATGTAATATCTCCGAGCCCGTAGGCTCGGCCAAAAAAAAAGCCTTTGAACCCGCCTAGACGGGTTCAGGCCCTGTCTACCTCCCGGATGAAACCTTGCCCTTCGGCAAAGCTTCGTCAATGTTCCTCTCTGCTAATGCAGAGAGTTCGACAGACGTCGCTTACAGTCAAAGACGGTATCACGACTCAGCTAGACTCGGAGGTCTTACCCTCTCTGTCTATCTGTCTTTTCCCATGTCAACTGACATGCCACTATTTAAAGTCTTTGTTCACAGACGCAACAAGTTCATCTTCAAAAGGGGTGGTAGGTTTCCGACACAACATTAATAAAGCTTCACTTCTACAAAGAAAGAATACTTTTAATTGGAAAAAAGAAATTTACACCAATTAAATGAAAACTTCATTTAAAGCTTTATTTAAAAAAAAAAAGTGCATTTTAAAATAACTTTCACGAAAACAGCGCATTAATCAAGACGAGTAGAAGATACGAAAAGAAGTAAAAAGGCCGTTAAGTGAGTAAGCTTCCGCGCATGAATATTCGAGGCAAATGTTTGGAAACAAAGCCAGTAATGGCGGCCGTTCTGTCGACGCAAAAGAAGTTGAAATTACATTGTCGGTAAATCCTAAACGGAGCGCAAACTTTTAATGTCATTTTCGAAATAATGGTAGCACCTGTCAGGGTCCCAGCTATGAGCAAATAGTTGCCCCCCAAGAGGGGCCAAAAAACTAAGAAAGTATAAAAGTAGGTTTTAATACTAGCAGTACGTTTTTGGAAAAAAATATTACCTGCAATGCAGTTTTTGAAAGAATATTTGGAAAAAAATATTACCAGCAATACATATTTAGTAAAAAATATTTGGAAAAATATTACCAGTAATACATTTTTAGAAAAAACATATTACCAACAATAAAAATCTTGTCGGTATTAAATAACCCATGGAGGTTCATATGCTGTAAAACAAAACAAACCAGACAAATATATACTGAGATAGATAGATAGATAGATAGATAGATAGATAGATAGATAGATAGATAGATAGATAGATATAAATAGACTAAGATAGATAGATATAAATAGAGATAGATAGATAGATATAAATAGAGTGAGATAGATATAAATAGAGTGAGATAGATAGATATAAATAGAGTGAGATAGATATATATAAATAGACAGAGATAGATATATATAAATAGACTGATATAGGTATAAATTGACTGAGATAGATAGATATAAATAGACTAAGATAAATATATAGATAGATAAATATAAATAGACTGAGATAAATAGATAGATAGATAGATGGATAGATAGATATAAATAGACTAAGATATTAGCATCAATAAAAATCTTGTCGGCATTAAATAACCCATTGAGGTGTTGATATGCCGTAAACCAAACCAAACGTACCAAAAATTATAAATCAAATGAGAAAGTCAAAATCAATTTCTCTACAAACCATGTATCTGAAAAGAATACGTCAATAAAAGCAAATTCTTGACAACAACCTTTTTTGCAAAAGTATTTCAATGGAACCGGATCTACAAAACTGTTTCTTTATAAATAATGTATATTTTATTCATAGGAATCTATTATAAAAATCTTGTCGGAATGAAATGACCCATTGAGGTGTTGATGTGTGCTAAAAGAGAAACCAAACCAAACCAAACCAAACTAGACAAAACCAATAGCAAAAAAAAAAAAAAAGACTGTATAACTGGGTGGGTGGGGGGCGTTAGTTGATAATGGCGTGTTAAAATAGTCAATTACAAACGTAATTACTGACGGACTAAGCAAACTTTAGCAAATATTGACATTTTTTTTTTACTTCCTTCATAAATCTTAATTGTATTTTATTGACTTTTGCTGGCTTCAACATTTCAATTGAAAATTAAGAAACGTATACAAACTGTCCTCAAAATATGTTTCATTGATCAGCCACTTGATATATAGTATAATGTATCTCAAAAATCCTTTTAAAATGACAGAATTTCTAGGATGATAGTATAAGTTTCATGGATGTTTCAGCTTCATCTTCGTATCCAGACATTGGTTTTTATAGAAATTTTCCTTCCTTTATCATAAATGAAGATCGTGATGGATAAAGAATATAATCTATCTATATTTTACGTTTATACGTTATTTTATAGATAAAATTTATTTAAGTAAATGCATTGAATTTTGAGTCTGTCTATATTTCTGAGATGAGGTATTATGTACATTATTTACATTATTCAGACTATTGTCTTCATCTTTGTCGCCATATTTATCACAACGTTTCGGCAGTTGTCGCTCCGGCCTTCTTCAGGTGGTTGGAATTTCGAACTGAACCCTTTATTACGCTCACTGGGGTAGACTGTTCTAGTTCCACGTACCATGTTTGATGGATGTCAGTTATCAGTTATCTCCTGCTAATTTCCCTCTGAAAGTTCTCCACTGCCCTCTGTGGGATCATGTTGAGATCATACATAGGGAACACCATTGGAAAATTCGTAAACTTAAGGAATCAGCACATATGCTAGGCCACAAAAATCTCCTGAGCCGACCAAGCCTAGAAATAAATACAATATGGGAACCAGTAATAAGGAGTGCCAGAGAAAAGCAATGATAGCAAAGTTGCAATATGAGCTCTGGTAAAAACATGCAATGATAACAGCAAAATTGCAATATGAGCACTGGTAAAAAATGGTTGCTGAAGACATTAGGTTTATAATACCCAGAAATTCATACCCAGATGTCCTCAAGGACACATGGTACAGTGGATAAAGGCGTTGGTTAGATCCAGTGACAGGACCCAAAGAGTGTGAGTTCAATACCCGGTTAAGGTGCATATATTTGCATTGGATGCCAGGGTTCCTCCGTTAACGGTTTTTTTGTGTATAGGTAAACAAAAACGTTAGACAGCAAGACAAATTACGAAATAGTATATAAATATAGATACATCTATAAAGTATATAAATACGAATGGCCTTGTCAAACTCTCTTTAACTTCGCTTTCTACAATCCTTCAGAAAGTCCCGCGGACGACGGTCTCGCGAGCGGCGGCCCGCGGGCGACGGTCTGGCGAGCGGCGGTCCCGCGGGCGACGGTCTCGCGAGCGGCGGTCCCGCGGGCGACGGAGGCAGGCTTGGTTAGCTGGAGCTCCTTAGACAAAATTTTTTCCGCGCCCACGCGTTGGCGGCAGGTTCGTGATGGTCATATCCATCGTGAGCTGCTAGAATGTGGCAATTGGATATGGTGTGGCATAGTAGACACATTAAACAACATGTTTACACCCATTGAAAAAAAGTCGCATGGTGTTAAGTTAGGACTCCTGGCTTGTCGCTCATACATAAAATTTGGAGGTACTTTAAAATCACCTTATATATATATATGTATAATTTCAAAATCTACTATGACTCTAACTGTAGAAGTCATAACATAATTTACCTCCTAGAATGCAGACTATGCCAAAAACAATATGTGGGAAAATCTGAATGGCCCTTTCACTACAGAATTAATAATTATCGTAATCGAATTAATTCTGCTCTCCGCGAGAGATTATTACCTGTAGAACAACATTTCCGCCTAAAAAACATGATTTTAAAAAGCCATGCCAAATTCGCTATAACTGAAAAAATAGAAAAAGTTAGAAAAGATAACATTAGAAAAATTCTAGAAGGCCATGAAGACAAATGGATTTTGCGCATCAAAACTCTCCATCCAGATGGGCTTAATCACAAATTTAACAACATAGATAGAATTGATATATAACTCCATAAATCAAGCTCGACCCACATTTCTCACCCACATAAGACTGCCATATATATATACATACATATATATATATATATATATATATATATATATATATATATATATGTATGTATGTATATAAATTGTTCACATGATAAGACACCAAGAAAAAAATGAAACAACAAGATTGCAACTTTGTAGTGATCTTATAACATGCATATGTTATAAATTTGAATATATATATATGTATATTAGGTTGGTGCAAAAAAATAATTTAAATAATGTCGTTTTTTTTTCACGTATTTTTAACGTCAAAAAACGACATCATTAAATTTTTTGAACAAGATATATATATATATATATATATATATATATATATATATATATATATATATATATATATATATATATATATATATATATATATATATATATAAAATATAGTAATCATAATGGGTATGAAACAGATTTATAACTTTCATTTTTCGATTATAGGACCCGGGTTCTAATCTCCCTCTTGTCGATTTGTTAGGTAGGTGACGGTCTGGGGCTATATTTCAGCGTAACATAGAACATTCTCGTTTATAAAATCATTTTCTTTATGAAATAATTAAGCACGAACCATGGCTCGATTTGTGCCTTTAAAAAAATCGATATATGTCTGAGCTGTCATACCCATGGGCCCGCTATTTTACTATCGATAATCCTAATCCGAAAACTTCAAACTGTGATAACTGTTTCCGCAGATTTGGTGGTAGATGATCTCAGGTAATCCGGTATTTTTCGGTAACATGTATTCCGTCTTCCTGTGTTCCTCTTAAAGGAAGCCTAGTGATTGGTTTCCCATGTTTTATCACTTGACCCAGCATCACATGCTTTTTTAACAGTTCCTCATTGTCACAGCACCTTAAAATTTCAGGGACGGACTTTTGAAAGTAATTCATCTCTTTATACAAGACAAGCATCTTCAACGAAATGTTTCCTATTTTGGTGGGCATTTGTCGATCATTTTTTGATATTTCCTCTGATGGTTTTGTTAGACATTTTCATGACGGTCGTCCTCGAGTATAGAATCCAGAGGTTGGCAGTGAATATTTCGGAGACAGTAGGAAAGCGTACTTTAGGTTCGCTTCTTTATATCACAGCACAGTGTAGTTCATCCTTCTCCTGGTCGCCTTTGGTCCTTCCGGTAGAGGAAACAAGATGGCCGCCTTTATACACGACGAATACCGTGTTGTGCGGCTTCTGATTGGTCAACCTTCTATTGGTCGACTATAAAAAGAAATAAGTCATTCTGACTCGCTCACTAGTTACATATAGTATATACTCAAAAAACCGTAACAGGTTTATCATCTTGAAAGTTTTGAATTAATTAAAATTTCCTCTTATCTTTTAAATCAACATTTTAAAGATATGATCCTATGTTCAAGCACGAAACTTAGATATTAATTTGAGACTTCAAAATTCAGACCATTTAATTCAACTGGCTGTCATTTATTTATATCTGCTCATAACGAACCAACTTTCATTCGAATTGCGCAGGTAGCACCTGTCATCATTCGTCAAATAAAACATTAAATTCCAATATACATGTATTTGTTCCATAGTTCGATAAACTAAGAATTGTCTAATGATGTGGGTATTATGGAGGATTTACTCACATCATAGCAAGAGAAATTAGCCTCGTGTCCACGAAGATAAAAACACACTTGACAGAAAATAAAACGGGCAGAAATAACAGGAAATGTAATGGTATGTGTATGTTTTAGGTTACAATTGTTTTATAGTACTTGTAATAAATCTATCTATCTATCTATCTATCTATCTATCTATCTATCTATCTGTTGATATCTGCCTGTCTTTTTAGATCTATCTTATAATCTATATCTCTATCTATAAAAGGCAGTGTGTGTGTGTGTGTGTGTGTGTGTGTGTGTGTGTGTGTGTGTGTGTGTGTGTGTGTGTGTAACGAATGCACGATCGCAATTTTCGACGGATTTGCGCCAAAATTTACATGCACATGCTCCAAGATAGCGGGAAGGCCAAGACCGACTTTGCATTTTCCAACTCCCATCGATAGTGGAAATAATCAATTTTTTTATGCTTCTACAGCACTTTTCTACTGGCCAGAGTGAGAGCCTATAGCTGGCTTCCACGAATAGGTAGGAAGATTCTATTGGCCAGCGTGAGAGCCAACAGCTGACCGACTCGAATTTTAACTAGCATGCAAAAAAAAATCGATAGCTACATTCGTCACAAGTGGGAAAAATTTGAATCTGCATGTCACTTTACTCCAATTGGCTCATTCGCTTGCTTAAACTCAACGTTGATTCTGATTCCGCAGAACTGGGTTGGGTGTGAAAAAATATTTGTTTTTAACATTCTTTTTTCATTCGGTTTTTCCAGTTACGAGTCCTTTTTTTTAAAGCTGATCGTTTTGTGTTCATTTTGTTTAGTTGTTTTTTTCGTAACAGACTTAATGTTTAGTATAGAGCTTAGGAAAAAATCGCAGTGTGAGATAGGCAAGAAGTAAGGCATGTAGCAACATCAGCACGGCAAAGGGCACTCCTTTAAAGGCAAGGAAGGGCAAAAATATTTTAAGTCAAGTGATAGCGATTGCTGTATATGAGTCGTACGATTTTTGAATCAAGCACAATTAGCAACGCCAAATATGCTGCTAGTATATATATATATATATATATATATATATATATATAAAATGTGTGTGTGTGTGTTCTGTGTTTATGTGTGTGTGTGTGATGTTCATATTCCTGTTATCTGTGTATATATTCATACTATCTATCTATCTATCTATCTATTATCTATTAATAAGTCTATATATAAATCTATCATATCTATCTTCTTATATAGATTTAATCTATCCTTTTTTATATATATCTCTATCAATATATAAACACACCTTATAAAAACCCAACACCAATTTTTATATATACATCCTAAATCAAATCACCCCCCATCTATAATTAAACATATACTCTTATCCATAAGTATTTTATTAGTATATAAATTCAGCTAATAACAAGATTTTTGATGAGCATATCAATATTTATAATAAAGCTCTAAAAGATATAGTGGCTACAAAAAACCCAAAACTAGAAATATAAAAAATGAAAATGGAAAACATAGAAAAAAAGATGATGTAGAAAAATTATTTGGTATACTCCCCCATATAACCAAATGGTAAAGAACAGATTAGGACATAAATTCCTCACATTAATAGTCAATTTTTCCTTTGTGAAAATAAACTAAGTACTATTTTCAATAAAAACACACTAAAATTAAGTTATAGCTGTACAAAGAACTTAGAAAAAATCATTAAGAACCATAATGCTAATATCTTAAATAAACACTTATACCAAAACCAAAAAAATTTAGACAATAGAAAAATTAAGATAAAAACTGATGTAAATAAACAAAAACTATGTAATTGTCGAAACCCTCAAAATTGCCCACTACAAAATAAATGTTGCACTGAATCATTAGTATACCAATGCAATATCTCTTCGATTGAAAATCCTGATAACATAAAAATATATATAGGTTGCACTAGCCATGAATTCAAAAAAGATTCAACCAACATCAAACTTCATTTAGAATAAATAAATATAAAAATCAAACATCTCTCTCAAAATATTTCTGGCATCTAAAAGAATCAAATAAAACACCTACAGTAAAATGGAAGTTAATAAGAAGAGCTAGAATTTGTAGATCATTAAACGACCGTGTCCTCTATGTATACAAGAGAAAACTATATATTACTAAGTTTATAAAAAAAAAATTTACTGAATCAGAGAAATGAAATAGCTATTATATGCCGTCATTGTCAAAAATTTTCCTTAAATAATATATAAAAAAAAAAAAAAAAAAAAAAAAAAAAAAAATTAAATGGAAAAAAAATGTTTTAAACTGTTATTTAAAATTGTGGTTAAAAAAAAGTATTAAAACATAAACACCGTTTAAAAATTGTAGTTAAATAAAATGTATCCTAACCGAAACACCTCTATAATAAATGTACTACAAACACTTGAATGAATCCTTTAAACACCTCCTGAAAAAATGAAATTATAACTAAATATATATAGATGATGTAAGGTAATGTATGACCCATTGTTCTTTGTACATACATATGAAACTTTATTACTCAGGTTACATATATTTAAAATAAATAATTTAATTAATTAATACATAAAGTTTACTAAATCTGAGAAATGACTTAGATAGTTTTGTAGTCTGTGCCATTTATATTACTTAAATATTTAAATATAATAGTTTAAAAATTGTAATTTACATATACTTTTGTTATGGAAAATAATTATACTTACTATGAGTAATTATCCTTCTGTTATAAAGTAATATAGTCAATTAAAACTAACAATGAAAATATTTTAAAAAATTTTAATGTGGTAATTTTAAAATTGTAATTAAAATTGTAGTTAAATAAAATGAATTCTAACCTGTTCTTGGTACATACATATGAAACTTTACTACTTAGGTTACATATATTTAAAATAAATAAATAAAAATTAAGTAATAAATAAAGTTTACTAAATCCGAGAAATGACTTTAATTTTGTAGTAAGTTCCATTAATATTACTAAAATAATATTTTAAAAATAAAGGTTTAAAAAATTGTAATTTACATATACTTGGATATTGAAAAATAATTTTACTTACTATGAGTAATATTCCTTCTGTTATAAAGTAATATAGTCTAATATAACTAACAATGAAAATATTTCAAAAGTTTAAAGTTTGTAATTTTAAAATTGAAACTAAAATTAAAGTTAAATTGAATGAATTCTAACCTAAGTTTCTTTTTTAAATAATACTACACACACTAAAAAAATCCCAAAAAGCAAATATAGTAAAATAAAATTAATATGAAATGCCATAAGATGTAAGCTTTTGAATGACCCATGTCCTTTGTACTTACATGAGAAACATTATATCACTAGGTTTATATATATATATAAAAAAAAAAAAAAAAAAAAAAAATGTAACCTCATATACATACTTAAACTTGAATTAATACATAAAGTTTACTAATTCTGAGAAATGACTTAGATAGTTTTGTAGTCTGGGCCATTAATATTACTTAAATAATATCTAAATTAAAAGTTTAAAATTGTAATTTACATATACTTTGATAGGAAAAAAAAAAAACTTACTTACTATGAGTAATTATCCTTCTGTTATAAAAACAATGTTATAATATAGTCTAAATTAAAACTAAAATGAAAATATTTTAAAATTTTAAAGTTATAATTTTAAAATTTTAAAATTGAAATTAAAATTGTAGTAAAATAAAATGAATTCTAACATGTTATTTATACATACATATGAAACTTTATTAATTAGGTTACATATATTTGAAATAAATAAATTAATTAATTAATAAATAAATAAAGTTTACTAAATCTGAGAAATGACTTAGCTAGTTTTGTAGTAAGTGCCATTAATATTACTTAAATAATATTTAAATTTAAAAAGAAAAAAAAAAAAAAAAAAAAAAAAAAAAAAAAAAAAAAAAAATAATATAAAAAATTTTGATATGGAAAAATAATCTTACTTAATATGAGTAATTTTCCTTCTGTTATAAAAATAATATAGTCTATTAAAACTAAACAATGAAAATATTTTAAAATTTTAAAGTTGTAATTTTGAATTTGTAATTAAAATTGTAGTTAAATTGAATGAATTCTAACCTAAATTTCTTTTAAATAATACTACACGCATTAAAAAAGAATCCAAAAATAACACCTATAGTAAAATAAAATTAATATGAAATACCATAACATGTAAGCTTTTGAATGACCCATGTCCTCAGTACTTACATGTGAAATATTATAATAATAGGTTTATATATAAAAGAAAAGTTTACTGAATCAGTGAAATTAAGTAACCATTTCTGCTGTCATAGTCATATACAAAAAAAAAAAAAAAAAAAAAAATGTAACCTCATATACATACTTAAACTTAATGTTAAAATAATCCTACATAATATAATGGATTCTAATACATTTAACTGTTCTTAAAAAGAATATAGTAAAATAAAAAATTAAAAAGGAAAATATTTCAAATCGTAGTTAAATAAAAAAGTATTGTAAAAAAAAAAAAAAAAAAATCTTTAATTTTAAAAGATGACGTTGAAAATTTTTTTTTTTTGTTAACAATTTTTTTTTTTTTTTTTTTTTTTTTTTTTAAATTCAGACGACATCCATTCAACCGACGTCAGGTTTCAGTGTAAAATACATCCTCACCCCTTACCAAAATGTAGCTAATAACTGATACAATGATACTGTCATAAGGAAAATCTAGACACCCCGTGTTCAATTTGAGTAGAATATTCTGTAACCATGGAAACGTGATTTTAGCTGTGTATTTAAAACCCGGTAAATTTTAAAA